GGGGGGGCGTTAACACAATTCAAGGGCAAGGTCTATCACCCTTTTGTTATTGTGCGAAATGAGCAATGAAAACTGAACAGTGTTTGTACAGTGTGAATGGCATGCTGTTCCGACAGTGTGCATGCCTTATGCACACTGTTGGCCTCACAGGTCTGTTTTCGCTCACGGACGAAAGTCGCTCGCACAGACCCAGCCCAACAGAGTATAATATTGTGTTTTATGCCCCTGGACCACTTTCCATGTACTCGGGGAGGTGCTCGGCTGCTCGGTCTGCCCTTTGGCCCGCGGTGCGCTGCGTCCCCCTGCTCCGCCCTTGCTCCCCCCTGCAGTGTTGACCTGAGCCTGCGAGAGAAAGTCAAAGCGAGGAGCAGCAGCGGCAGCAGCAGCAGCAGCAGCAAGGGTCGGGCAGAACAATGCTCCAATCTGCAGTGCGACATCGTGCGGACAGACGCGCGCTGCTGGGCCCGACCGGCCGGCTGTGAGTCAAGGGCGCAAGCGGCCAGCATAGCGAGGTGACGTCACACCAGGCCACACCAGGCCAGGCCATGGATTTGCGAGTGCGGCTCTGCTGTGGCCATCACTTTTGAGGGCACCCAGAGCGCCCTCGCGCCGGGCTCTAGAAAGAGTTTTCAAATTAAACACACGCGCAGTGTCCAGGAAAATGTTGTATTTTTGCTCACCCCCAACTTGAAGTTGAACTGGAGTTTTAATTTTTGGGAAAGACTCCCCAGCACTGCGCGTGCTCCAGTAAGTGGTGTGCCATCTCCGGGCGTAACGGCGGCAGCCACCCGCGGGTTTTCGAGCCGAGCCGAGCCGAGCCGAGCCGAGCCTGGGCGCCAGTAGGCGCCACTACTCGTCTTTACGACCACCAGACCGCGGCGCCTGCTGCTTATGGGCGCGTGGACCGCCCGCAGAGGAAGTCGTGCGCGGACTCCTTGAACGCACGAGAAAAAACGATTAGCTAAACCAACAGCTATAAATGAGGGATGACTAATTATTTAACTAAGGTCAACATAGCTAAATTCTTAGCAGCATATAGGTAAATTTTAGCTAAGTAGCTGATTTTGTACAATTTGCACCGGACGACTTGATGGGAGCTCTCCTGATCACGGTAAAAGAAAACTAACTTGCCTGCTCTTCTCTCTCTCTCCCTCCCCCGTTTGTATTCACGCTCAATGACTAATGGCGAAGAGCTCGCGATTCCCATATCTGTTTGTGGCGGGGCGGGGTGGGGCGGGGCGTGACTCGCTCTTGTTTCCTCGTGTCCAAGCCGGACCGGGTGGCGGGCCGGGGTGGGGCGACGACGGCGCGGCACGACGCACGTGAGATAGCGGATGCGCCGTCATGAGAAAACTCTTTCTGCTTCGCCGCTGCGCTGTTGGCAGAAAACACAATAAAAGTCGGGATTGTGTCCGAAACTGGCCCGGAGCCATTAAAACTGCTTCGAATGTCAAACAGAAAAAAAAAAAAAAAAACAAGTTTCATGCGGGGCGCACACACAAAAATCCTGTCAAAAATTGTTGTGCTTAACAAAAGCTAAAATGTAGAAAAATACGAGTGGTTCCCTTGAGCGAAAAACATAACGATTACTATCAACATTATCGTTAATGCACATAGTTATAACCACTTTTAATAATTGCGTGTTTTTTTAAACTAAGTCGTGTTTGTCGCTTATTGGTCAACGTCCTAATCGCCACCTGGTGTAATCTGCTGGCTGGCACTTGAATCCTTGAGGAAAGATAGAATGACATCATTTCGTTTGTAAAGTGTCCTGATTGGCCAAACAGCTCTCATGACCATTTATGGGGGGGGTTTTGCTTGGTTGGGGGGTTTTTTGGCTTTTGCCGGTTGTTTGTTTATTTTTTGGCCCTTCTTTTTTATCTTTTTATGGGCGTGACCCATCGGCGATCGGCGAAGCCGTGAAACGCTGTGGACCGCCGCCACCACCGCGGCCCACCAAGTACCGAACACAATAGGGAAAGGGCCAACCATATGTAGGCCAGCGGGCGGAAGTTGGCCGGATCGCAGCAAACGCTCCGCAGCAGCCTTGACTACTCGCTCCCGTCGAACAAGAGGGGTACATATATGCATGAAGGTTACTCGTGAGAGGACGGAATCGGGTACAAAATACGGGACTGTGGGTACTACAATTCGTACATCTTCATGCGGGTTTTCCGCCCCGCCTCAAAACAATAAGTTTCATGAGGGATTAACACACATTATTGCGAGGTATCTATCTCGGATCTCGCGGCCTCCTTCCTGGTCGATGTCCATGAGGGCGGGTGGAGTCGTTCTGCCCGCGATCACGCTACATTCCCGACCCGTGCCATAAGGTCTGCTGTGCCGCGTGACCGCGCCGCTGGCAGTGCCTCTCACTGGCCATGGCGTCATGGGCGCGGTCCTGCGGCCTGCGGGACCCTGCCGACGAGCGGCGGCGGCGCTGGCCGCGGCTGAGAGTGCGAGCCCGTGCGAGCTGTATAGGATGGATGGAGAGAGAACGCTGCTCGGCGGGGTTTGCGGTGTGTTGTTTGGCTTCCGAGTGTGCGCATGAGTTAGCTGTGGTATGGATGGAGGCTGGAGCCCTGGAGCCTGGAGCCTAGAGACTGAAGCCTGGACCTGGAGCCTGGGGCCTAGGGCCCTGCACCCTGGGCTGGGCCCTGGGCCCTGGAGCCTGGAGCTCGCATATTGCACTCCGTGCGCAGCGACGCTGCGAGGGCGCCGTGACGGTCCGTTTGTCAAACAAAAACAACGGCGCAGTCCCTTGCGGTCCTTTATTATTAGTGCGCCTAGAGCCCCAGGCGAGCACCCTGAAGTCCTGGAGAGCGGTGAGCAGAACGCCGGGCGGCTCCAGCAGGCGGGGCGGGGCGTGGGGCGTCCTCCTCTCCCGAACGCCGTCGCGCAGCCGAGCCGAGCACAGCCGAGTTGTTGGTTCGCCGCCGGCGTCGCGGCGGCGGCGTCGCCTCCGGGAGCCTCCCCTCTCCCCTCTCCCCTCTCCCCGCGGCCCGCGGCCCGCTCCGCTCCAGGTGTGCAGCCCTGGCAGGCACGCGGGCCAGGCTCGGCTCGGCGGCCCCGCGACTCCCGACCTGTTCACAGTGAACGCTCTCGACGCTCGCACCTCGCCGCCCGCCGCCGCGCCCGGCCCCCGTCCGCCCAAGCTCCGCGAAGCTCCGCGCCGCGAGCGTCCGTCCCCCCGCGCGCCTTATCAGCCAGTGCAGTGCCGACGGCCCCCGCGACACCATGGCTGAAGTAAGGCTGTCGTGTGTGATGGCTATGTTGTGTGCGTGTGTGTGTGAGAGCGCGCG